CATTTTCTTTTTTTTTAAGAATTACTTAATTTTATTTATTCATTGGTTTTATTTTTTTAATTTGACCGGAAAGACATAGAGAGAGAGTGAGAGAGGGAACGTGAGAAAGTAAGTCACCAGGTCCAAGATTCGAACCGTGGTTGGCCATGTGGGAGTCTAGCACCCTTACCCACTATGCCACCTGCCGGCCCCAAGTAAGCCATTTTCTTGGATGTTTTTTCTTCTCTCCTTTCTTTTGCTTTTTCTTAAGGTTTTTGGTATAGTAGGAACATTTTTCTTGATGGCTTCCACCACAGTAGGAGCTTTCTTTTTCTTCTCTTCATCGCTCTCCATGGTTCCAGCTGGAAAAGAGAGCTTTAGCTTGTATTTTTGTCTGCTTTCTTTGTATCATATTTCTTTTCTTCTCTTGTATATAGATCTGATTCCAGCTGCTTTTCCTTTTGGATAGTTTTTCTCTGACTTGCTACTTTAAGAAGGTTTATGTTGGGGAAGGAAAAGGAGTGTTCTAATCTAGAGCAAGGGTCAGAGAACTATGCTATGTTGGTCTTTTTTTTTTAAGAATTATTTATTTAATATTATTTATCATTGTCATTATTATTATTGTTTTTGGAGAGGTTTTCGCTATGGGGCGCGTGTGCTCAAACTGTAATTCCCTTTCCCTAGCCCTTCAAGATCTTAGATGTGCATACGCTCCTGACATGTTTTCAAACTGACCTAGGAATCCCAGCCTATGGTTAGCATGTGGCTTCTAGCAGGGCATTTTAACATACTAGAGACTTCACCATCTAAGTCGGATCTCTGAACCTTTCTTTAGTTCTGTACTAGGAATTACAATTTGCTTTTTGACATCTTCCTCTGTATTCACTTGAGTTTCAACTTTCTCAATTCTTCAGTCAGGTAATAGTCCTTTATTTCATCTGTGAAAATTATCTTTGCATCTATCATTGTCTGGACTTTGTTTCTGTTAGTACATATCTTTTTATTTATTTTATGTTAGTGCAGTGTGGGGTGGAATAAATTCATTTATTTATTATACCATATTTAATCTCAATTTCTCACTGTTTGGGGTTTTTACCCCCTTTGCTCACTGTATTTGCTTCCTATCTAGTCAGCTTAGGTGAGTACCTCCAGTTTATATTCTCATCCTTTCATCCACTTTTTACTTTCCCATTATTTCTTTTCATTTTATTGATTACTGCAATGTTCAGAATAATTTATTTATTTACCTTGTAGAATATATAATTCATATTTTATAGTACAATTTTTTTTTGCAGGAACTGCCTAAGTCTGGGTCCAGGACTCAACCACAGTTGGCCATGTGCTGAGTTCAGCACCTTAACCACTATGCCACCTGTTGGCCCCACAGTACAAAATTTTTAAAATACAAAATGATATATGTAGAAAAGTAACATCTTTTCCCTTATCATTTCTTTTCTGTGGTGGTAACCCCAAGTGTCATTTTAATATGAGCTATTAAAATGTATTGCAAGCATTTTTATTGAAACCTCTTTAAATTTTTAGATTAACTTATAAATAATATAATCTTTATGCTGTTGAATTTTTTTTCCAAGAGTATGTTTTGCTTTTTGTCTTAGTATCCTGGACTGCTGAAACAATGTACCACAAACCAAGTAACCTAATTAACAGAAACTTATTTTCACAGTTTTGAAGGCTAGTAGTCCAAAATCAGTATCACTAGGGCCATGTTCCCTCTGAGATCCTCCCTTGCCTCTCTTTGTTTCTGGTAGTCACGGACATTCCATGATTTGATGGCAGCATAATTTCACCCTGTATCTCCATCTTCACATGATATTCTCTCTGTAACTGCCTCTCTTCATGTAGCATTCTTTTAATTTATAAGAACATCGGTCATATTGGATTAGGGACTTTACCCTATTCTAGTATGACCTCACCTAATCTGCAATTATCTTATTTCCAAATAAGACCACATTCTGAGGTATTGGAAGCTAGAACTTCAGCATATTGTTTTGGGAGAAACCGATAACAATGCCTTTCCATTTGTTCAAATCTGTATGATCATTTCAAGGTTTTCTGATATCTCTTTTTCATTTTTCTCCCTATATTTACAATTTTTTTAAACCATTGTAGATGTAGTTTATTCTTCAGTTGTATTTTCCAAATAGTTGCTTTCATATATAAAGAAGCTGGAGGCCAGGAGGTGTCATGGTGATTGAGGTACTGGACTCCCACATGGCCAACTATGATTCAAGTCCTAGACCTGGTGGCTTGTTTCCTCACCTTTCCTCTCTCTCTGTCTCTTTCTTGTCAAATGAATAATTAATTAATTAAATTAAATAAATATTTTTTAAAAAGGTTATTGAAACAGAATATTAATTTATATAGTGAATTTAATGATCTATTTAAATTCTTTTTTAAAGAATTATTAATTTTTATTTGTTCATTCATTTATTTTAATTTGGCCAGAGAGAGAGGGAAAGTGAGAAAGCAAGCCACTGAGTCCGGGATTCAAAACATGGTCAGCCTTAACCATGCCACCTGCTGGTCGCACTGTTTGTTTTTTTGGGGGAGAGATTTTTGCTATACGTCGCACTGTTTGTTTTTTGGGGGGAGAGATTTTTGCTATAGGGTGCATGTGCTAGCCAGACACACAGAGAGACAGACAGAAAGCGAGTAATCACTCCCCAGGGGGGATGGCCACACTGCAATCCCTTTTCCTCCATTCTCCTCCTGGGATTTTGGACACACATGCACATATGCCCAGTGTAAGTTTCAAGTCTCTGGGTCAGGGACATGAACTGCACTTGGCCATGTGGGAGCCCAGTGATGTAGCCATTATACCATCTGCTGGTCCCATGAATTTCTTTTATAATTTTTAGTTGACTTGATTTTTCAGGTAAGTAGTTTTATTGTTGACAAATAATGTTAATTTTTCCTTTCCTTTCAAAAGTTTTGTTTGTGCTAGAGGGTATATGTGCCCTCAGAGAAGAGAAAGCAACGCCAATGAGGACTGGTCATGCTGCAATCATTGTTTCCTCCATTTCTCAATCCCATCAGTATCCTGGGCATGCACACATGTCCCCAGAGTATTTTGCAAGTTTCTAGTGCCAGGATTCAAACTTGGCCTATGGGACACAGCTCCCTCTTCAAAGGACCAGGACTAAAGGGCCAGACCCCCTTTCTAAAGTTTTATACTTCTGATTTATTTTTCTTATGTAATTATACTAGCTAGTACTGTAATGTGATAGCACTCATCTTTTCTTGTTTCTGAGTTTAATGTGACTACTTCAGGATTTTTCAATTTAAATATGTTGATATTTGGGTTGTATTGTACTTTTTTCTCAAGTTCCCCTTTAATAAAGTTTTTTTAATGGAAAATAGATGTTGGATTTTATCATCTTTTTAATGTCTATGGAAACAATTATTTGATTTTTCATTTTGACCTATTATTTACTTCCAGCAATAGACTTTCTGTGTTTTTAAATAATTATTTTATTTGACTTTTTAAATTGTCATCTATTTTATTATTTTTTAAGCTGACCAGAGAGAAACAGAGAGAGAGAGAGGGAAATTGAGAAAGCAAGCTGCCAGATCTGGGACTCAAGCTGCTGTCAGATGTGTGGGAGTCTAGATGCCTTAACCACTATGCCATCTGCCAGCCCCACAATAGAGTTTCTAATATTGATGTGTACTTATATTCCTGGGGAAAAAATCAACTCATATATATTTTATGTTTAATATGCTTTCTAGATAACTTTCTTCTTTTTCTGAGTAATTTTGATATCTTTAAATGGAGTTTTTATAAGCTCATTTTTATAAGGGAAATTGGTTTATTTTGTGTCATCTTTATCAGGTTTTGGTATTAATGTTCATTTTTATAAGAGAAATTGGTTTATTTTGGTGTGTCATCTTTATCAGGTTTTGGTATTAATGTTATGTTTGTTTTGCAGACATTGCAAAAATTTTTTTCTTTTTTAATATTTTACACAACATGGGAGTTGTCCCTTAAATCTTTATTCCTAAATGGATATCTGGCCTTCCTTTTTGTTTTGTTTTTAGGGGGTTGCTTTTCTTATTTTTCTGTTTATTTTATGGAAATTGGTCTTCATAAATTTTCTTTTTAAATAATTATTTTCAAAATTCTATTTACTCATTCATTTATTTTAATTTGACCACAAAGAGAGAGGAAAAGTGAGAAAGTAAGCCACTAGGTCAGGGTCTTGAACAAGGTTCAGCCATGTGGGAGTGTCCAGTGCCTTAACCACCACACCATCTGCTGGTCCCAAATTTTTTACATCTTCTTGCATCAGTTAATTTAAATTTTTGAGAAAAGCATCCATTTCAGTTTATAAAAATGTATTTCAATAAGTCCTGCAAAATTATCTTATAATTTTTTAATCTCATTTTTTTCTCTACCATTATTTCTTTTTATTTTATTTGTACATTTTCCATCTCCCTCTTATTTACCTAAAAGTTCATTTTCTTTCAGATCTCATTTAAAAGCAATCAAAACTATTTGTATTAATAAATATCTGCTTCAGGACCAGCAGGTAGTATATCAGTTAAAGTACTGGTCTCCCATATGGCCGACCGCAATTCAAGTCCCAGCAGTTTGAAACTCATCCCACTTGTGTGTGCATGCATGCCCAAAAGAGGCATGAGAGGAGAATGGAGGAGAAGGGTTTGTGGCATGTCCATCCTCCCTGGAGAGTGGTTTCTCACTTTCTGTCTCTCTGTCTCTGTCTCTCTGCCACGTCCATGTGCCCTGTAGCAAAAACCTCTCAACAAATAAATAAGTAAATAAATATCTGCCTCTACTCATATTTATTTTTTAGAAATTTCCTTCTCAAAATTTAGGGATGAGAGATAGGCACACTTAATTTTTTTTTTTTTTTTAATAATGGGAGACTAGGCCTTAAACAAAGAATCAGTCCCAAAACAGAATGTTTTTTGGAATTTTTTTGATATTGCAATATTGGAAAAAAATTGGCAAGTGACATTTATTCATAATCTGTTTTTAGGAGACTTATGGGGAATTGATGATCATCAGAAATGCCATAACAGACTTTTGAAACAAGTTGAAGATAAATTCAAGAAAACACTGACTGAAGAAAAAGTCAATGAATGTCAAAAGAAATTTGCAAATGCATTTCCTTTGAACTCAGATTTTGTTCCTACCAGCTACAGTCTTTATGAATATGACTTTAGACCTTGTTTGGAACATAATTTTGACTGTTATAATAATGTGAAATGCCTTATAAGAAAGGACCATTGTGAATATAGTGAATCTGTGAAATCATATGGCAATAGTTCATCATATCTTGTAGTAACTCCCTTTAAGTGTAATCATTGTGGAAAAGGCTTCAGTCAAACATTGGACCTCATCAGACACTTGAGAATTCATACTGGAGAGAAACCTTATGAATGTAATAAGTGTACAAAAGCCTTCAGCCACAAGGAAAAACTCAGTAACCATCATAAAATTCACAGTAGGGAGCAGTCTTATGAATGTAATGAATGTGGGAAAGCTTTCATTAAAATGTCAAATCTCATTAGACATCAAAGAATTCATACTGGAGAAAAACCCTATGCATGTAAGGAATGTGGGAAATCCTTCAGCCAGAAATCAAATCTCATTGATCATGAAAAAATCCATACTGGAGAGAAACCTTATGAATGCAACGAGTGTGGGAAAGCATTCAGCCAGAAGCAAAGCCTCATTGCACATCAGAAAGTTCATACAGGGGAGAAACCTTATGCTTGTAATGAATGTGGTAAAGCCTTCCCTCGAATTGCATCCCTTGCTCTTCATATGAGAAGTCACACCGGAGAAAAACCATATAAATGTGATAAATGTGGAAAAGCCTTCTCTCAGTTTTCTATGCTTATTATACATGTGAGGATTCATACAGGTGAGAAACCCTATGAATGTAATGAGTGTGGAAAAGCTTTCTCTCAAAGCTCAGCCCTTACTGTACATATGAGAAGTCACACTGGTGAGAAACCCTATGAATGTAAGGAATGTAGAAAAGCCTTCAGCCACAAGAAAAACTTCATTACACACCAGAAAATTCATACTCGAGAGAAGCCTTATGAATGTAATGAATGTGGGAAAGCTTTCATTCAGATGTCAAATCTTGTTAGACACCAGAGAATTCATACTGGAGAAAAACCCTATATATGTAAGGAATGTGGTAAAGCTTTTAGCCAGAAATCAAATCTCATTGCTCATGAAAAAATTCATTCTGGAGAGAAACCCTATGAATGTAATGAATGTGGTAAAGCCTTCAGCCAAAAGCAAAATTTTATTACACATCAGAAGGTTCATACAGGAGAGAAACCTTATGATTGTAATAAATGTGGTAAAGCCTTCTCTCAAATTGCATCCCTTACACTTCATTTGAGAAGTCACACAGGGGAAAAGCCTTATGAATGCGATAAATGTGGGAAAGCCTTCTCTCAGTGTTCACTGCTTAACCTGCATATGAGAAGTCATACAGGTGAGAAGCCCTATGTATGTAATGAATGTGGAAAAGCCTTCTCTCAAAGAACTTCCCTTATTGTGCACATGAGAGGACATACAGGTGAGAAACCCTATGAATGTAATAAATGTGGAAAAGCCTTCTCTCAGAGCTCATCCCTTACCATACATATCCGAGGTCATACAGGTGAGAAACCCTTTGACTGTAGTAAATGTGGGAAAGCCTTCTCTCAGATTTCATCTCTTACTCTTCATATGAGAAAACATACAGGTGAGAAGCCCTATCACTGTAATGAGTGTGGCAAGGCTTTTAGCCAAAAATCTCACCTTGTTAGACATCAGAGAATTCATACTCATTAGAAACCCTACAAACGGTGTAAATATAGGAAAACTCAGAAGGAATTATCATCTCATTGCACATTACATGATTGATTTTAGAGCAGAAAACTGAGGATGAAAAAGCTTTCTGAAGTCACAAATTCATGAAACATTAGAGAATTCTTACCAAGGTGACAAGTTGTATAATGAAAAAGCTCATCATTGACACCATCAAATATCTTACTGATAATATTAATCAGTATTTTCATTAAAATCTGAAACAAGATATCTGCTATCAGCATACTAACATAATACTTGAACTCTTAGCCAATTTATTAAGCAAGAAAAAGATTGGGAAGAAAGAAAAATGATAAAAATAAGCTTTTATACAAGAAACAGTTAATTAGAAAATATATTGATAGAAAATATCTAAAAAATTAATCATGAGACAAATATAAAGTTATAGAGATGTTGAAGGCACAAAAGAACACCTGGAAAATGGAGAGAAATTATGTCTAAAGAGACATGACCTTGTAAAACTATAAGTTCTCTCTAAAATCTGTAAATTCAATGTACTTCCACTCAAAGTTTACACCAGTTAGTTATATTTTAAGAAACTTCACAGACTGATTAAAAAATTTTATATGGAAGATAAAGAACTACAAATAGCTGAAATAAGTTTGACAAAACAAATAAGGAAGACATACTACTAGATGTCATCACATCCTTTATTTAAAGCTATTGTCATTACAGTGTGTTATTAAGTGAATAAATAAATGAATCAGTGGTAACAAACCAAGAATCAATACAAAAATCCAAAAGACACTAGAATTTTGTGTATGATACGTCTATTGAAATCACTGGGGGAAAGATTCCCTGCTCAGTAAGTGGAAGATTCATATGAGCAAAAAATGTTAGCTCTCTATATTATGTAAAAAAATCAAATAGACTTAAGACCAGAATATAAAATGAGAAATTCTAAAACTATGATGAAAATAAAATAGATACTAATTAGAACAACAAGATTCTTTTAAAACACATAAACATGGAGCAATCGATTTTATTTTGGTGTATTGATCTCAGAGGTATCCACATACATGCACAGAGATATATATTGATATTTGCCCTAATTAGGATATAACATAGATTTCATCAATAAAGAAATAGACCAGTAAAATGTGACTGTTTCTATAATTGAAATCTATAGAGTATTTAGAGAGAAAATACAAAATTCACCTACAGCTAGATGAATAAATAACATATAACAGAAAAATGCAGAATTTCCAATGAAACATGCTCTATAACATTCAAATAATTTAATACAATGTTACAAAGACAAAATTCAACTACAGCTAGATGAATAAAATACATATAACAGAGAAAAATGCAGAATTTCCAATGAAACATGCTCTATAACATTCAAATAATTTAATACAATGTTACAAAGAACACAACTGTGTATTGACCATGGATCCATATGACACTGGTTGCCTTTTGGGATATGAGAAAGCTTTGGCAGGAGTTGTTATATTTATCTGTAATATTTCTTTAATAAAAGATTGAAAACAAATATGAGTGGTATCTGGTGTCAAAATGAATTATGTGGATTTAAAAAAATTTTTTTACTTTATCTTCCTAATTTCTCCAAAATAAGAATTAAATGGGCAGGGCCAGCTCCACCTGATGGTTAAGGCAGCTAGCTCTCACAAAGCCAACCACATGGTTTGAATCCTGCACCCAGTCACTTGAGATACACATTGGGTGTATGTGTGTGCTCATGCCCAAAATCCCATAAGGGAGAGATGGAGAAGAAGGGACTATGGTGTGACCATTCCCAAGTGCTTTCTCTTCCCTGTATTTATTTATTTATTTATTTAAATTTGACCAGAGAGGGTTGGAGTGAGAGAGAGGGGGAACCTGAGAAAGCCAGCTTCTAGGTCCAGGACTTGAACTGCAATCAGCCATGTGGTAGTCCAGTGTGTTTAACCACCATGCCATCTGCTGGACCCCCCAATTTTAAAATTTTTAAAGAATTTTTAAAATTTTGATAAAGCATATGTGCACTTGTTTAAGAGAGACAGGGAAAATGAGAGATCACTCCTTGGGGGATGACTATGCCAAGTCCCTTCTCCATATTCCTCTTGGGATTTTGGGCATGCATGCACACATGCCCATCGTGATTTTCAAATAATCAAGTTCAGGCCTTGAAACACAGAGTTGGCTGAGAGGATCTAGCATCTTAACCTCTACACCACCTGCTGACTCCCAAAGAATAACTTATTTTAAACATATTTTTCATCTAGTTGAATGCAGTGAAAAAAGAATAATTATTGGAATAATTAAGTATTCATTCTACCAAAAAAAAAAAAAAATCCTTCCACATTTGGATTGGTGGGTAAGTGAAGGAAAAGAGACCAAGTGTGACTTAATACGTCAAACTAATGACAGTAACCAGCATCAGAGCAGGAGCAATTTCGTTATATCTCAGCAAAACTGTTTTCTGAATTTTTTAGAGGTATTTATTAATTATCATTATTATTCAATTTGACCAGAGGGAGACAGAGCAAGAGAGGGAAGGAAAGTGAGAAAGCAAGCCACCAGGTCCAGGACTCAAACCATGGCTGGCCTTGTGGCGGAGTTCAGCACACCAACCACCATGCCACCTGCCAGACCCATTTTCTTTTTTTGGAAAGTTTTTTGCTATAGGAAACATGCACTCACCAGAAAGACAGAGAGAGACAGAGAGATAGAAAGCAAGAGATCACCCCCCAGAGGGGTTGGCCATGCCGCAATCTCTTCTCCTCCATTCTCCTCTCGGGATCTTGGGCACGCACACACATGCGCCCAGTGTGAGTTTAAGCCACCAGGTCCGGGACTCGAACTGGTTGACTACATGGGAGTCCGGCTACATAGCCATTATACTGCTGGTCCCAGCCCCATTTTCTGGATCTTAAGATGCAGAAGCAGATGCTGGTGATTTTATATGTGCCAGGTAAGGGCTGAATGAATATGAGAAGCTCACTTCTTCCATTTCCACAGATGTTTTATATTCTGGCTGGTTTTTTGTTTTGTTTTGCTTTTGTTTTTATTGGCAGGGCCATACTATGTCACAATCTCCCTGCTTAATCCTTCTAGCTACGACTGTAGGGGCATACCACTATGCCCAGCTCTGTTTTAACAAGGTCTCCCTGTTTCACAGACCATCCTAGAGCTTAAGATCCTCCTACATCAGGGAAAGTAAAGCAAGCCACTAGGTCTGGGACTCGAACCATAATCGGCCATGTGAGAATCTAGTGTCCTTAACCACCAGGCCACCTGCCAGCCCCACGGCATCTTTTTTTTTCTTTTCAAAGTTTTTTTTCTTATGATACATGTGCTTGCCAGGGAGAGAGCTTCATTCTCCCTAGGACAGTGAGAAATCACCCCTTGCAGAGATGGCCACACCACAATCCCTTCTCTATTCTCCCAGGATCTTGGACATGTACACACACATGCCTGGTATGAGTTTTAAGCCTCCAGTTCTGGGACCATGGTTGGCCATATGGGAATCCAGTGACAAAACTGTTATGCCATATGTGGCCCCAAAGCACAGCATCTTAGGAGCATGTGCTGTTATGGCTGAGACAATCCTATGAAATATTTATGATGGCACAAATTTCCCTTTCTGCAAATAGTCCACATGTTTTGTCTGTTTTTTTTTTTTTTATCCTACTGGAGCTTTTGAAAAATGTTTTGATTTAGAAATAATTATAAATGTACAGATGGTTACAGAAATAATCCCTTTAATACTGCTTAGAATGTAGCCACCTATTTTAGCATTATGGTACCATAGTGTATAAAAATGGTACAATAACAAATTTGACATTAGTATAATCAACAGATACTAAAATTCACCAGTTTTAAATGAACTTGTGTGCATGTGTCTTTGTAGTTCTATTACAATTTCATCATGTGTAGATTTGTGTAACTACCACTACAATCAAGATTTTTTTTATATCAAACTACCACAAACATCCCTGTTCTCTTTCTTTTTTTCTTCCTTTCTTTCTTTTTTTCTTCCTTCCTTTCTTTCTTTCTTTCTTTCTTTCTTTCTTTCTTTCTTTCTTTCTTTCTTTCTTTCTT